ACGATCAAAAGAATTTAAAAAGATGAAAAGCAAAAAAAATAAATAAAAAAGAAATAAAAAACAAAAAAGAAATAAAAAGAAATAAACGGAGAAGGAATTGAACAAAGATAAAACAAAAAAGAAAAAAGAAAAATAAAATAAAATAAAAATCAAAAAAATTAAAAATTAAAAACTTAAAAATAAAAATAAAATAAAAATTAAAAATAAATAAATCTTACGGCGCAGCAAATTGGTGAAGGACAAAAGAGCTGCTTTGCTGGTGGCATAAGCATTAAATCCTCCAAAGCCAAAGTAAGCTGCGCGCACACACAAACCTGCTGCTGCTGCTGCTGCTGCTGCTGCTGCTGCTGCTGCTGCTGCTGCTGCTGCAGCTGCTGCGGTTCGCCGTTTGTCGCTGCGGCTGCTGCAGCAGCAGCAGCAGCAGCACCGCCGCCGCCCGCCGCCGCCGCCGCCCCGCCTCCGCCTCCGCCGCCTTCGCTGCTGCTGCTGCTGCTGCTGCTGCTGCTGCTGCTGCTGCTGCTGCTGCTGCTGCTGACCTGAGGAAGAGTTGGTGAAGACCAAGTGGCCGTGGCCTCTGCTGCGCATGTGGGGCAAAACCAAATTTGTGAGTTTTACGGCGGAGAGGAAATTCGCGTCGAAGACTTCCGCGAAAGTCTCCGTCGGCGGGAAGCAACCTATGGCAATGCGGCCTGCAGCAGCAGCAGCAGCAGCAGCAGCAGCAGCAGCAGCAGCAGCAGCAGCAGCGGCAGCGGCAGCGGCAGCGGCAGCGGGGAGGTGACGGGAGGGGCAGAAACAGGGACAGCAGCAACTGCGCAGCCAGCACCAGCTCAATGAGCTGCTAGCTAGCTAGCTAGCTAGCTAGCTAGCTAGCTAGCTAGCTAGCTAGCTAGCTGGCCAGCTGTCTATCTTTTCGCTAGCTGTGTCTTTGGCTAGCTAGCCAGTTGCCTAGATGTCTTTTGCTGAGCACATTCTCTGCCAAGCCAACGGACTAGCTAGCTCTCCGCTTTCTAGCTAGTCAGCTAGCTAGCTGTACAGCTAGCTAGCTAGCTAGCTAGCTGTACAGCTAGCTAGTTAAACGGCGAGCTTCCCGGCTAGCTGCTTAGCTAGCCAGCTATCTAGCTAATTGGCTAGCTGGCTGAATAGCTATCTATCTACCTCTCTATCTATCCAACTAGCTAGCTAGCTAGCCAGCTAGCTAGCTAGCTAGCTAGATAGATAGATAGATAGAGAGATAGATAACTAGCCAAGCAGCTACGTATGTGGCTAGCTGCTTAGCTATCCAGCTATCTAGCGAACTGCGTAGCTGGCTAGCTTCATGGCTAGCTTGCTACATTGCCGGCTAGCCACATAGCTACCTAGCTAGCTGGCTAGCTGGCTGGCTAGCTAGCTAGCTAGCTGGCTACTGGCTGGCTAGCTAGCTAGCTAGCTAGCTAGCTGGCTAGCTGGCTGGCTAGCTAGCTGGCTACTGGCTGGCTGGCTAGCTAGCTAGCTAGCTGTTAGCGTTACCCGCGTTGTTGAAGAGAATGTCGACGCCGCCCCTCCAGTTGATTGCCTGATCGACGGTGCGCTGCCAAGGATCCTCCTGCTGCTGCTGCTGCTGCTGCTGCTGCTGCTGCTGCTGCTGCTGCTGCTGGGGGTCGGGCCTGAGCCCCTTGGAAAGGTCGAGGGGCAGCAGCAGCAAGTCCTGCTCCTGCAAAGAACCTTTGTGAGTTTTGCAAAAGTCCAAAATTTCTTTTTTTGCTTTTTCTAATTTTGCAAAAGAACGCCCGGTGATGATGAGTCCTTTCACGGGGTGTACAGACAGCTGCTGACACAGCGCCAACCCGATCCCGCTCGTGCCTCCTGCGCGCCGCCAAACTTCATTTATTTATTTATTTATTTATTTATTTATTTTATTTATTTATTTATTTTTATTTATTTATTTTATTTATTTATTTATTTATTTATTTATTTATTTATTTATTTATTATTTATTGTTTGTTTGTTTGGTTGGTTGTTTGGTTGGCGAAAGTTGCGCAGAAAAAGAATTTCTTTTTGCAATTCTGCAGATATTACTGCCAAGGCAATTATTTATTTATTATTCATTTATTTATTTATTTATTTATTATTTGTTATTTATTTTATTTATTTATTTATTTATTTATTTATTTATTTACTTGTTTATTTTATTTATTTTATTCATTTATTTATTTATTTATTGGTTCATTTGTTTGTAATCTTTTTTACTTCTGGAGTTCATTTTTTGTATTTTCACGAAAAGTGCCCTTGAGCAGTCTTGTCTTCTTTTATTTATTTTATTTATTTCATTATATTTATTTTATTTCATTCCATTTATTTTATTTTATTTATTTTATTATTTTAAAATGCATTTATTTGTTTATTTATTTTACTTTCTTTGTTTAGTTGTTCTATTGTGTTATTCTATTATTTCGCTTTCTTTCAAGTTTGAATTTAACCAACTACTAACTAATCTTAATTAACACTATTATCATCTAATTAACTAATTAATTAATTAACTAATTAATTAATTAATTAATTAATAATTAATTAACTATTTTATTAATTAATTAATTAATTAATTAATTGATTAATTAATTAGTTAATTAATTAATTAATTAGCTGCTCACCAGTGACCCAAATGACTTTATTTTTGAATTTCTTTTCATTTGGAGAGCAGCAAAAAGTGACGAAGTCGGTGAAGGGCAGCAGCAGCGGAGCAGCAGCAGCCCAGAGCAGCGCGGGGACTGCAGCAGCAGCAGCAGAAAGGCTGGCGAGCAGCAGCAGCAGCCAGAAAAGCGGAGAAGCAATTAGAATTCGAAAGTCCTTTTTAAAGAAGTGAAACTTCTCGGAAGAAGCGAATCCGGAGAGCTTGCTGGGGGCCACGCTGTCGATACACCGCAGCAGCTGCTGCAGCAGCAGCAGCAGCTGGCCCCACAGCAGCAGCAGCAGCTCTTTTGCTTCTTCCAGTGCGCAGCAGCACTTGTCCTGCATGCGCTTGCTGCGCAGCGCAGCCAGCACCGAGTCCGTCGCGCTGCAGCAGCAGCTCTTCCTGCTGCTGCTGCTGCTGCTGCTGCTGCTGCTGCTCTCCGGCAGCCGCGTTGCTGTTTGACTTCTTCTTTCCGTCAACATGCTGCTGCTGTCAAAGCACACTGCTGCGGGCGCGGTGTCTGTCCAGTGCGCAGCAGCAAAAGATAGAGCTGGGAGCGTGTTACAGCTGCTGCTGCTGCTGCTGCTGCTGCTGCTGCTGCTGCGCGGGAAGGCGAGTGTGTGCGCTGATGAAGCGCCAAATGGATTAAAAAGAAATATTTAATCCAAACACAAAAGAAAAATCCCGAAAAGACGCAAAACTGGTGTCCGCCAGCAGCAGATCCGGCAGCGACCGCGTGACTGCTGCCTCTGGCGTGCCGCTGCGGTGTACATACACCTGAAAAAAAGGAAGTTCGAGGCTGAAACTGCGTTTATTAATTCGGAAACGCCGAGTTAACTGCAGAAGGTTGGAAATAACTTTCTTTTAGCAGTTTGCTGCTGCAGTTGGCCGGGAAAGCGCCGCAGCAAGAGCTGCAGCAGCAGCAGCAGCAGCAGCGCGGTGGCTGCGGCGCCGCAGTGTCTGTACACCTGAAGTTAGCCCCCCCAAACTCCGCATTTAAACCTTTTTGCAGTTTTTTCTTGTCAATTTGCTGTTGGGGAGTTTAAAGTCTGTTTGCTGCTGCAGCACGAGGCGCCGCGCCTCCTCTCCTCGGGTGTATGTACACCCCAGCTCCAGCCTCCTATTTGAACCCTGGGGCTCCTCTCTTCCTCTTTTCTTCATTTCTTTTTTTTCTGTTTTTGCTGCTTCCTGCTGCAGCGCTTCTGCAGCCCCTGGGCCCCCGCGCCGCCCCTGCCCGCTCGTCTCCAGGCTTTAGGCTAGGGTTTAGGGCTTAGGGTTTAGGGTTTAGGGTTTAGGGTTTACGGCCTAACGGCCCTCCCCCCGTCTCCCCTCTCCAACAAAGACATTTAACCCCAGGGGCCCCCAGGGCCCCACTGCTAGCGCCCCAGACAGCAGCACTGACACCGCCAGCCCCACCTGCAGCAGCAGCAGCAGCAGCAGCAGCAGCAGCAGCAGCGGCAGCAGCAGCAGCAGCAGCGGCAGTGCAGGGGGAGCTGCAGCAAGGGGACAGCTGCTGCCGACGCAAGAGCCAGCGGCACTGGCACTGCCTCCAGCAGCAGCAGCAGCAGCAGCAGCAGCAGCAGCAGCAGCAGCAGCAGCAAAGGGAGCCGCCGCGACGGGGGCATGAGCAGCAGCAGCCGATGGCTCTTCGCGCGGCCTCCGTTGCCCCTGCTGCTGCTGCTCCTGCTGCTGCTGCTGCTGCGCCTTGCGGCGACCGGCAGCTCGCAGCAGCAGCAGCAGCAGCAGCAGCAGCAGCTTCTTTGTCTCTTCCTTTAAATCCAAAACCCGGAAACTTTTGTCTCCTCGAGTCTCTCAACCAACTGGGTACTGTACCCTCTTGGGGGCCCCCCTCTCAGGGGGCCCCCCAGTCTCAGGGGGGCCCCCCCTCTCAGGGGGGCCCCCCTGCCTCGACCCAGGGGGGCCCCCCACATGCGGGGGCCCGGCTGCTGGCCCCTGGAGGGGCCCCCTCGGGGGGCCCCCCTGGGGGCCCCCCGGGGGCCCCCGGGGGGGCCCCCCAGGGGCCCCCTGAGGGGTCTTTGAGTGGCGATTGCAAGGAATCTGTTTTTTCAGTTTCTGCGTCCAAGTCCAAATCGGGAGGTAATTTATATTCTTTTAATTCAATTAAAGGAAGCAGCAAAGAGGCCCCTCCCTCTCGCCCCGTGGTCTTGGGGCCCCGCAGGGGGGGCCCCCAGGGCCCCCAGGGCCCCCCGGGGGGCCCCCCGGGGGGCCCCCCGGGGCGTGCGCCTGCGCCGCTGCCCCCAGGGGGCCCCCCGGGGGGCCCGCCCGGGGGGCCCCCAGGAGGGGGGCCCCCCGGGGCTTCTCACGGGGGGGTGCAGCAGCAGCAGCAGGCCGGGGGGCGGGTGCCGGGGGGCCCCGCCGGGGGCCCCCCGGCGTGCTGCTGCCACGCGGGGGGCCCGGGCGCCCTGGGGGCCCCCCCGGGGGGCCCCCCCGGGGGCGTGCTCGGGGGAGTGCGGGTGTTTGCTGCTGGGGCTTGAGGGCGTGGGGTGTCTGTGCTGCTTGGGGTCTGTGGGGGCCTCGGGGGGCCCCTTGCTGCTGGCGCGGGGCAAAGGTGCTGCTGCTGCAGCGCAGCAGCAAGCTGTGCTGCAGTTCAAAGAGCTGCTGCAGCAGAGCAGCAAAACGGACCTGCACTGGCGGCTGCTCTACGCGCGCGACCGCGCGCGGGAGGGCCCCCCGCACTGGCGGGGGGCCCCCCGAGGCCCCTGGGGGGCTCGGAAGCGGGCCAGAGAGCAGCAATAGTGGACATAATAATGAGTTATGCTGCAGACCTGCAGCGTTGCTTCGGCGCTGCTGCTGCTGCTGACGTGGCTCGGGTGTCTGTACACCTCGCGGTGTCCATCCTGGACCGCTCCGGGGTCAGCAAAAGGGCCCCCAGGGGCCCCGAGGGTTTGCGTTGCTGCGCAGCTTTTTGTTTGGTGTTGGCGCTGCAGCACGAGGCCCCCAACAGCACAGCTTTGGAGGGCAAGTTGAAGCGTTTGCTGCTGCTGGAAGCTGCTGTGCTGCAGCACTTCGGGGTCTCTTTCGGGCAGCTGCAGCAGCAGGTCCTTGCTGCGCTGCACTGCTGCTTGGGGGCCCCCCTGCCCCTCGACTTCGCTGCCCACTTCCTGCAGGAAGCAGCAGCAGCAGCAGCAGCAGCGCAGCACGACGGGGGGCCCCCGGGGGCCCCGGGGGCCCCGGGGGCCCCGGGGGCCCCGGGGGCCCCGGGGGCCCCCAGGGGCCCCCAACTCCAAGTCGCTGACCTTGTTGCTTATCTGCTGGACTGCTTCTGTCTTGTCCCCGAGTGCGTCAGCACCCCCCCCTCTCTTGCTGCTGCTGCTGCTGTGGAAATGGCGCTGCGCATTGCTGCAGCAGAGAGCCAGAAGACAGCCCGAGCAGCAGCAGCAGCAGCAGCAGCAGCAGCAGCGCCAGCAGCAGCAGCGCCGGGCGCCAAACCCTGCAAACACCCCAAACAGGAAAAACACTGCCCGCCCAGAGCAACCAACAGCAACAGCAGCAGCAGCAGCAGCAGCAGCAGCAGCAGCAGCAGCAGCAGCAGCAGGGTGATTGGGGGCTACGATAAGCAGCAGCTGCGGCCAACTCTCAAGGCCCTGCACAGCTTCTTAATTACTAAAGCCCACAAGTACCCGGGGCTGAAGCGGCTGCATGCAGAGGGCTGGGCAGCAGTGAGTTGGCAGGGGGCCGCGAGGTAGCGGAAATCCGGGAAAAAAAGAGTTTTCTTTTGCAAAAAGAATTCAATTAAACTTAATTATTCAATTAAAAACAAATGGTTCATCAAATTGAACCGTTTCCAGGCCCGAAAGCCGCAGTTCGGCGGTGTGCTGCGGTGTACGTACACCGCAAGTGCTGCAGCGCTTGCGGTGTACGTACACCGCAGCACACAGCCGGAACAAATGCAAAAACACAACTCCTTTGCAGATCTTTTTCATTTCTTTTTTTCTAAAGTCTCCGCTGCCAATTAGTGCAACTCTGAAGCAACAAATAGTTTATTTAGTTGTTCAAATTCGTCCAGGAATTGAAACACTTGAAACTTGCATAAATAAAACAAAAATGGCACAAAAATAATTTAAAATAATGCACAAGTCGGGGAGAAGGAATACAAAAATGACTCCGAAATAATTCTTGAACAATTCTGAAACAATGCAGAAGAAAAAGAAATAACAAATTTGCAAAAATCCATATTTGTGCATGCAACTTCGGAAATACAAATATAAGTATAAATAACTAATTTATTTTCATTAGATTAATTTATATACATATATATATTTCATTGGAGTTATTTATATATATACATATTTCTATAAAATACACATATATGTGCATAAATGTATAGTACACATAAATATAAATGTGAATAATATATATATATATATAAGTCAATTTATATTTAGATTAAATATATATAATATATACTTGTTATATATATATTTAATTTTCTAAATATAAATAGACATATATATACATATGTAATATATATGTAAGTATATAATCCACATATATATATATATATATATATATATGTATATATATATAATGTTTGCGATTGAGTTATTATCAAATATATACTTTATATATAATGCATAGATGTATATAATGTTATATATATATATATATGTATATGTGTATAGCTATATTATTATGTATACGTAATATATATGCACTAATACATATTATGTATACTTTGTACATAATATATATATTTTACATAACATTATATATACATATTTATATACATATATGTATATATATATATATATATATCTATATGTGTATGTATATTATATATATTTAGTTATGTATACGTAGTATATATGCACTAAATATATATTATATATACTTTATATACAATGCATAGATTTATATTACATATATGTATATATATATAATTACCTGTGTATATATATAATGTATGCTTACTATATATACACTAAATATATATTATATATATTTAATACATAATATATATTTTACATAATATATATGTATATATATGTGTGTATATCTATATTATTATGTATACGTAATATATATGCACTAAATATATATTATATATACTTTATATATAATATATATATTCTATAGAATATTATATATATATATATATATATATATATATATATTACCCGTGTATATATATATAATTATGTATACTTAGTATATATACACTAAATATATATTATATATATTTAATACATAATATATATATTTTACATAATATATATGTATATATATGTGTGTATATCTATATTATGTATACGTAATATATATGCACTAAATATATATTATATATACTTTATATATAATATATATACTCTATAGAATATTATATATATATATATACGTGTGTATATATATAATTATGTATACGTAATATATATGCACTATGTATATATTATACATACTTTATATATTATATATATATTCTATAGAATATTATACACATATACATATATATATATGTATATGTATATATATATATACGTAATATATATGCACTATGTATATATTATATATACTTTATTTATAATATATTTTTAAATAATATTTGCATTTGAATGAAATGCAAATATAAATGGATTTGTTTTTGATTAAATTATTCAGAGACACAAAGGCAAAAATGCGAAAAAGAATTTTGAACTTTTCAGAAAATAAAAAAACAAAATTTGAATTAAAAGACCTTTCGAAAGTTTTTTAACTTCAAAATTAATTTGATGGATTTTAATTGCTCACAAAATTGGAATTGTTTTTTCTTTTAATTCATTTTTCTTTTAATTCCTTTTCCCTTTAATTCTTTTTCACTCTACTTATTTATTATTTGATATACATTTTTAATTTTATGTTTATGATTATTCTTCTATTTTTGAAGAACTTGTAGAGATTTTGGTCTATCAAATTAAAGAAAAAAGCATTTAAATTTGTTTTCTTTTGTCTCTTTGAAAAATAAAGAAAGAATTAATAAATGAAATAAAAGCAATGAGGCAGTAAATCAGCAAATGCTTTCAAATATATATTAAACATTAAAAGAAAGGCAAATACCGCACTAAACATAAATCTATCCTGCTGCTTCCTAGCAGCAGCAGCAGCAGCAGCAGCAGCATCAGGAGCAGCAGGATCAGATGCAGCAGGAGCAGCCGCAGCAGCAGGGGCGGAAGCAGCAGCAGCAGCAGGGGCGGAAGCAGCAGCAGCAGCAGGGGCGGAAGCAGCAGCAGCAGCAGCTTGCTGGCTTTAAAGGAAACATGTAAGGATTTTTGCTTCGTGGCCAGCGGCGCCTTGCTGCACACGAAACGGCCTAGCAGCAGCAGTAGCAGCAGCAGCAGCAAATGCAGCAGCTGCAACTGTAGCAGCAGCAGCAGCAGCTTGTGCTGCAACAGCCCCTGTAGCTGCTGCAGAAATCAAAGTGGCCGTTGCAGTAGCAGCTGCTGCTGGGACTGCTGCAGCAACTGCTGCAGCAACTGCTGCAGCAACTGCTGCAACAGCAGCAGCACCAATGCTAATGCGTAGTAGCATGCAAAGGCAGCTGCAAGAGTTACTGCAGTAGCTGCTGCTGCTATCGCTGTTCCCTCAGTAGCTGTTGCTGCTGTTGCTGCTGCTGCCGCCGCTGCTGCAGTTGTTGCCGCAGCAGTTGCTGCTGCTGCAGTTGCTGCTGCTGCAGTTGCTGCTGCTGGACTTCCTCTTCGCAGCACATGAAGGCTCGCAGCAGCGGGAAATAAAAGCACTTTGCATTTTGCTGCAGTAGAATTAAATTCTGCATTTAAATATTTTCTTAAAATTCCATTTTTGGCATTTTCGGCAGTTTGCTGCGGCTGTGCGTTCAGGTGTACAGACAGCTCGGCGCATGCATGCTGCGCTTCTGACTGCAGCAGCATTTTCGCGAAATCTGCAAATTTAAATGCAATAAACGAATTATAAATGCAAAAAGGGAATTATAAATGCAAAAAATGAATTATAAATCGGCGCATGCATGCTGCGCTTGTGACTGCAGCAGACTTTTCGCGAAATCTGCAAATTTAAATGCAATAAACGAATTATAAATGCAAAAAGGGAATTATAAATGCAAAAAATGAATTATAAATGCAATATATTCTAAATCTGACATATTTTGCATGCAGAAAGTCTCGAAAAGAGCCATGTTCCAGATGTGCATGCATGCAAAAGGTACTTTTCGCGTCTTATTCTGAAAAAATAAATAGCTGCGCAGCTTCATGGGCTCGCAAGCTTTGCTGCTGCTGCTGCTGCAGCTCTCTCTATTATAAAGTGTACCAGTTCTCCTGCTGTTGCTGTTGCTGCTGCTGCTGCTGCTGCTGCTGCAAACACAAAAATCTTTTCAGGCCATGCTATTAAAAGCAGCAAGAAAACTGCGCGGCTTGCTGCTCCTGCTGCCGCCGCTGCTGCTGCTGCTGCTGCGCGCTGCCTGAACCTGCCACTGTGCAGCAGCCTAACCAGAAATGCTGCTGCTGCTGCTGCTGTTGCTTCGCTGCTGCTGCTGCAGCTGCGAAAACCGAGGCAAAATACCAATTGCTGCTGCTGCTGAGCACGGACCTGCCGATGCCTGCCGTCTCTTCTGTGCTATAACTGCAGCAGCAGCAGCTGCAGCAGCAGTTGCTGCAGCAGCAACAGCAGCAGCAGAAACAGCGTTTCAAGACGCACCCTAGGCATTTACGGTGCTGCTGCTTCCTTTGCTGCTCTCCCGTTGCTGCTGCGTCTATGCTGTGCATCATTGTTCCCATCTGTCTTAGCTGGCGGCGCTACTGCTGCTTGCTTACTGCTGCTGCTGCCGCTGCTGCTGCTGCTGCTGCTGCTGCTGCTGCTGCTGCCGCTGCTGCTGCCCAGTCGTTGCCGCTGTTTTGGACTTTGCCGCTGATGTTTCTCTTTGCCTGTCTCCCTTTTGCAGCTCTAGCTGTTGCAGACGCCCTCGTTGCTGCTGTTGCTGCTGCTGTTGCTGCTGCAGTTGCTGCTGCAGTTGCTGCTGCAGTTGCTGCTTCTGCTGCTGCTAAGTCTGGAGTGTCACTGCACCTCCGAGGCTTGCGTGGGCAGATCGCAGAAGTGTGCTTGGTGGTTGTTGCTGCTGCTGTTGCTGCTGCTGTTGCTGCTGCTGTTGTTGCTGTTGTTGCTGCTGTTGTTGTTGGCTTGCAACTCCTTCAGCTGCAGCTGTTTATTGAGTTCCCAGAGCTGCTGCTGCTGCTGCTGCTGCTGCTGCTGCAGCAAGGCCGCCGCTTTGGCGTGTCGGCGCCTCTTGAGCCTGCTTCTGCTGAGATCAGCAGCTCTCCTGCTGCTGCTGCTGCTGCTGCTGCTGCTCATGTCTGCTGGGAGGAGGGGGGCGAAAGCTGAAGGGAAGAAGATGCCAGCAGCAGTTATGAGCAGCACCAGCAGCAGCACAGCAGCAGCAGGCACCTGGTAGTGCCAGGCGTTGGCCGAGGCTGCCGCAGCAGCAGCAGCAGCTGCTGCTGGGTCCCGCGCTGCTGCTGCTGCTGCTGCTGCGTCCTGCGGGTCCACGGGCAGCGGCTGCAGCCCCTGCTGCAGACTCTGGAACAGCAGCAGACACACTGCAGCAGGCAGCAAATACTTCAGCAGCAAAGACCAGCAGGGCCGCAGCCGCAAAAGGCCCTGAGCAGCAGCAGTTATGATGTTCAGGTGTCTCCGCAGGTGCTCCACATTCCCCACAAACAGCCAGAAGCAGCAGTGCGCCAGTCCGCCCTCAGTGCGGTGCAGCCTGCAGCAAACTCTCCTGCTGCTGCTGCTGCTGCTGCTGCTGCTGCTGCTGCTGCTGCTGAGGCTGACGGGGCTCCTGGGGCTGCTCGGGCTGCTCCGCGGGCTGCACAGGAAGGCGGGAGTGCCGGGGACTGCTGCAGCAGCAGCAGCAGGAGAAGCAGCAGCTGCTGCTGCTGCAGCAGCAGGAGCAGCAGCTGCTGCTGCAGCAGCAGGGATGGCAATGGCTTGGGGGGACGGGTCCGGAGAGGAGCTGCTGCTGCCCGCCGCTGCTGCTGCGCAGCTTGAGGGCGTTCCGTCAGCAGCAGCAGCAGCAGGAGCAGCGGCGTTTGCTGCTGCTGCTGCTGCTGCTTGCTGCTGCGGCTCCGCTGCTGCTGCTGCTGCGTCCGGGGCGTCGGCGAGAGCGAAGTCGTCGCGGAGGACAGCAGCAAGCTTCTCCCTGTAGAAGGCAGCAGCGGCAGCAGCAGCAGCAGCAGCAGCAGCAGCTTCTGCAGCAGCGAGGGCCTTTTGCTGCTGCTTGCGTCTGGAGAAAGCAACAGCGAGGTAGAGAGAAGCAGCAGCGCCGCCGACGAGGAGCGCAGCAGCAGCAGCAAGCCCTGCTGCTGCTGCTGCGCTGCTGCTGCTGAAGAAGAGCGCCACGCAGGCCAGCAGCAAAGACCCCACGAAAGCAGCAAGCAGCCCCAGTGCTGCTGCTGCTCCCACCTGCTGCTGCTGCCGCCCCAAACCATAGACCCAGCCAAAGGAGACTGTCTCCAAAAAGCCTATCAGCAGCAAACCAATAACTCCCCAGTAAAAGTCTGCTGCCTGCAGCAGCAAAGTGCTGCCGGGGCCGCAGAAGCAGAGCCCGCAGAGGCAGCAGAGCCCGCAGAGGCCCAGGCACACCACCCACCGCCTGCTGCTGCTGCTGCTGCTGCTGCTGCTGCTGCTGCTGCTGCCGCTGCTGCTGCTGCTGCTGCTGCTGCTGCTGCAGCAGCGGGCGGTCAGCAGCAGCTCCACGGAAGGATATATCAAGGAAGACACGCTGCTGATCCCCAGCAGCACAAAAGACCCAAAAAATAAGCAGCAAAAGAGATTCGGCAGCGGCAGCGCCTGCAGCGCCACAGGGTACAGCACGAACACGAGCCGGGGCCCC